GTAGGAAGGGAACTCCTAGCCTGTGGCTATCTTCAAGCGGGACTGGGGGTCAGCTGATGATGCCAGGTCAACAGACACAGCAAAGAGCCTCACATGGTTTTCAATAGTTTCCCCAAATAGTTGGGGCAAAGTTTAGCAACGATCAACTGTGGAACAGAAATGCCAAAAACCAGCTTGCTCTTCACACAGAAGAGGTCTCCAACAGCCTGATTGGTCTGTGATTGTGGGAATGAAATAATAATAATAATAATTTATTATTTATACCCTGCCCATCTGGCTGGGCTTCCCCAGCCACTCTGGGCAGCTTCCAAAAAAATATTAAAATACTGTAATACATCACACATTAAAAGCTTCCCTAAACAGGGCTGCCTTCAGATGTCTTCTAAAAGTCTGGTAGTTGTTGTTCTCTTTGACATCTGGTGGGAGGGCGTTCCACAGGGCGGGTGCCACTACTGAGAAGGCCCTCTGCCTGGTTCCCTGTAACTTGGCTTCTCGCAGGGAGGGAACCACCAGAAGGCCCTCAGCGCTGGACCTCAGTGTCTGGGCAGAACGATGGAGGTGGAGACGCTCCTTCAGATATACTGGGCCGAGGCCGTTTAAGGCTGTAAAGGTCAGCACCAACACTTTGAATTGTGCTCTGAAATAGGATATACACTTATACCTCGGGTTACAGAAGCTTCAGGTTGCGCATTTTGGGGGTGCGCACCGCACCGAACCCAGAATTACCCGAAAGGGTTACACAGAAACACTAAATCTCTTTTTTTAAAAAACTGATATTTATTAAAATTTCAAAAGAAAAAGATTACATTAATAAGAAAATTAACAATAAAAAGGAAAAATACAAAGTACAAAAAAGAAAAAACAGTTAAAAACATTTCCATCTTTTCATCACTTCTCTTACATTTACTTGTTTCCCGGACCTCCTCATACCTCCCTCTTTTGTATCCCAATTCAGTTTGTTAGTCTAGCAATTCCTTTCCCTCCTTTTTAATCCTGATCTTTAATCTTGATATATTATAACATTAAATTTTTACTATTAAAAACCAATTTTTCCATATTTTTTTATACCTTTACAGCTAGAAACCACTTAACTTTAATCCGTCATCATTCTAACATTCATTAATTTTACAATATTTCTGTAAGTAGTCTTTAAATTTCTTCCAATCTTCTTCCACCGACTCTTCTCCCTGGTCTCGGATTCAGAAACACTAAATCTCACTTTGCACATGCACACAAGCACCAAATCGCGACCCGAGTGTGTGCAGACACGGTGTTGCGGGTTGCGAACGTGCCTCCCACACAGATCACGTTCGCAACCTGAGTGTCCACTGTACTACAATTTCCAACCTGGAGAAACTGAGCCAGTCAGAATGATCTCAGTGTAACAGCTTAGCAAGGACAGGAGTCCACCAGTTGAAGTCGGTTTTAAACATTTCTGGGGGGGGCAAGGAATGTTGACTTCGGAGCCTTATTAGGTTGATTTATCATTGATTTAACTTGGTGTGAGGTTGTTGGTTGGCATCTGTCTGTCTCGGGTGACAAATAGAGGAGGATGTGCCTTTGGGGGTGAAGTCAAATAGTTGGAAGTTTACACCACCTGCTGTGGCTGTTGAGACCGATACTGGAGAGACATGTTTAGTTGCAGCTGGGGCAGAAGAAGGTGTCCAGTTGTGTTCCTGCAGATGCACCAAGACGTTTCTTCTCTGTGTGCCTCTCCTAGTGGTCATTCCTCCTCTGCTCACTGCTGTGGAGTCACAACCCGACTGTGAGGTTAAAGGTAAAGGTAAAGGCCCCTGGCTGTTAAGTCCAGTCGCGGACAACTCTGGGGTTGCGGCGCTCATCTCACTTTACTGGCCGAGGGAGCTGGTGTTTGTCTGCAGACAGCCTCCAGGTCATGTGGCCAGAATGACTAAGACGCTTCTGGCGAACCAGAGCAGCGCACAGAAATGCCGTTTACCTTCCCGCCGGAGTGGTACCTATTTATCTACTTTGCACTTTGACGTGCTTTCAAACTGCTAGGTTGGCAGAAGCAGGGACTGAGCAACGGGAGCTCACCCCGTCGCGGGGATTCGAACCGCCGACCTTCTGATCGGCAAGCCCTAGGCTCTGTGGTTTAGACCACAGCGCCACCTGCATTGGATCCCAAAGAAGAGAAACTCCACGGTCTACGCAAAGCTCAGAAACTGATGGAGAACTGCATGATTTAGTAAAATAATACAGTGGTACCTTGGTTTAAGAACAGCTTAGTTTATGAACAACTTGGATTAAGAACACTGCAAACCCAGAAGTAGGTGTTTTGGTTTGTGAACTTTGCCTTGGAATAAGAACATGTTTCGCTTCCTGTTGAGTGCGTTCCATTTGTAAATTGAGTCCCCCGCTGCTATAGGAAAGCATGCCTTGGTTTAAGAACACTTTGGTTTAAGAACAGACTTCCGGAACGGATTAAGTTCGTAAACCAAGGCACCACTGTAATTGGTCCAGTCATCAGTTGAAATGTGGGCTCCAATGATCCCTCTCATCTCAGCCGGGTCATGGGCAGAAATATCTGAAAGTCTAGGCTCATTCTTTTCTATAGTAGCCATATGCAAGGCCTCCCACTGAGTTCTGTTATATTCCAGGGTATGTTTGTGTAAGAGGCATTTATAAGATGATGTGGATTTTATGAGCTCTTGAGTGGCTACTTCCGTTATAAGAGAGAGTTGGGCCAATGTTTGCTTAGCATTCTGGCAATAATTTATCAAACCATGAGAAGGATAAGTCAGAAATCTTATGTGGGGTTACAAGATGTCATCAGAGTTTCATTCTGCCTGCTATTTGTTGGTGCTTAAAAGAGCTTTTCCTAAAGACAATGAGAACAAAATAGTACCAATTCCTTAGCCCTCATAAAGTTAATCAAGGGCTGAGAAAATGGCTCCCTCTTCTGGATCCCAAAACTTTCCCTTTCAATTATGCAGATGTGGCTTTGAGGTCCAGCAATATCCAGCGGGTGGCGCTGTGGGTTAAACCACAGAGCCTAGGACTTGCCGATCAGAAGGTCAGCGGTTCAAATCCCCACGACGGGGTGAGCTCCCGTTGCTCAGTCCCTGCTCCTGCCAACCTAGCAGTACGAAAGCACGTCAAAGTGCAAGTAGATAAATAGGTACCGCTCTGGCGGGAAGGTAAACGGCATTTCCATGCGCTGCTCTGGTTCGCCAGAAGCGGCTTAGTCATGCTGGCCACATGACCTGGAAGCTGTACGCCGGTTCCCTCGGCCAGTAAAGGGAGATGAGCGCTGCAACCCCAGAGTTGGCCACGACTGGACCTAATGGTCAGGGGTCCCTTTACCTTAACCTTTAATATCCTTTAAAAGTGCAAGACGATAAATCGTGATTGCTACCTATATGCTCCAAATCATCCATTTCCTTTATGCAACCAAGCAAGGAAGGGCTGTGGTAGCAGAACCCTTTTCATCTACTTTAATTGCACTAAAGTAAATTTTGGATATGTACCTGAATCCCTCCCACACGAAGCAGTGACAGTCTGGAGGCAACGTGAAAAGAGAACTGTGGATTTTGCCTGAAAATCCTCCGCGAATAGTCGCAGAGAGAGAGCGAAGCAGCAGCGCTCTCCACACATGCTCAGAGACACCCTCGTCATTACATCCCTGAGTGTTCAGAGTCCCTGAAAACTGGTCCGACGTGGAAGTCCGAGGCAGGAAAAGTGGGGGATGTCTTAGGACATCCGGAGAAAAGATCTCCACGCCTCTCCACTCACCCAGAGCTGGCGGGGCCGCGTGTTTTCAGTTTGCATCTACCAACGGACCCGCGTGAAGGAGACCCACGCGCGTGTAGCGCCCAGGGACGCCGCGGAGATCGGGAGCTGCCGCATCGCCCCGTCGAGAGCGAATCCGGGGCTGCGGTGGGAGGACAGGATCCCGGCCCTGGAGCAAGACGGCTCGGATGACTCCACACTACACGGCGTTGAAAGCGTTGGCAAAGGTGCTGCACCCCGTGGGAGAGGAGTATTGGAAGGTGCTCTGGGTCCCCGTCGATTCCCCCAGCGCCTTGGGGACTCCGTGGTGGGGGGCGGAATTGGAGATGTCCTCTGGCTTCCCATCAATTCCCTCCCCCACCCCCCGCGTGCGCCTTCGGGACGCTGTCGGATGGCGGGGATTGGCGAGGTCCTGGGGTCCCCGTCGATTCCTTCGTGCGCCTTGGGGACGCCGTCGTGGGGCTCGGCTGCTGGCGAAGGTCTGGGGAGGCCAGCCGACGCTCTTCCCCCGACGGGGCACCCGGTCTCTCTCCAGCCCCCTAACCGGGAGGGAGGGAGAAAGGATTGTAAGTGGTTCTTATATGCAGTGACGGCAGCAAGAATATTATTGGCACAAAAATGGAAGCAAGAAGAATTACCGATGAAAGAAGATTGGAGGATGAAATTGATGAACTCTGCAGAATTAGATAAAGTAACAGGAAGGATTCGAAACCTGCGGGACCAGAGACTCGCAGAAGATTGGTGTAAATTTACGGGCTATTTGAAAAGTAACTGTGATGATCAGATTACATTTGTAGGTTTGCAAGAAGTTTTGCGAGGTGGATAGTTTGAATAATTGCTTAATAGGATAAAGAGGAGGATGTTGGTTAAGATAATTAAAGGCAATATGAATTTAAGAAATGATAAAAATGGAGCATCGTCAGAGGTGCTGATGGAAGTCCAAAAAGTTGTATAAGACGTGAAGTTCTGTGGTATGTATGATGATGATGATGATGATGATGATGATGATGATTTATTTGTACCCCGCCCATCTGGCTGGGTTTCCCCAGCCACTCTGGGCGGCTTCCACAAAAACAAAAAATACACTAAGATGTCACACATATGACAATTAATATGTTTAAAAATTAATAAAAATTATTTAAAAAAAACAAAACAGGGAGGGAGGAAGGGAGGGAGGTGTCGCCTGGTCCCGCCCCCGCCGGCTTCCCCGCCTCCGCCTGCCTTCCCTCTTGACGGACCGCGCTGAGCGCAGTCCCTCCGATGAACACCACGAGCTGCGAGGCGGCGCTGGAGCTGCGTCCGCCGTCGGGCGAGAGCCCGGCCAGCGCGGCGCTCATGTTCGCGGCCGGTGTGCTGGGCAACGTGACGGCGCTGGGGCTGCTGCTGCGGGCGCGGGCTCGCCGTCGGGCTCGCCGGGAGCGCCTGGCGCCCTTCCACGTGCTGGTGATGGCCCTGGTGCTGACGGACCTGCTGGGCACGTGTTTGCTGAGCCCCGTAGTGCTGGCAGCCTACGGGCGCCGGCGGACGCTGCGCGGGTTGTCCGACGGCGGCGGCGTGTGCCTCTACTTCGCCTTCGCCATGAGCTTCTTCAGCCTGGCCACGATGGGATGCCTGGGCGCCATGGCGCTGGAGCGCAGCCTGGCCATCGGCGCGCCCTACCTGTACGAGCGGCTCCTGAGCGCCCGCCCCGTCGCGCCGCTCCTGCTGGCCGCCTTGCCGGCCCTCTACGCGCTGGCCGCCGCCTTCTGCGCCCTGCCGCTGCTCGGCTTCGGCCGCTACGTCCAGTACTGCCCGGGCACCTGGTGCTTCATCCAGATGCACTTCCCGCGGGCCGGCGGCGCGGCGGAGCTGTCGTCGGGGGGCGCCTTCTCGCTCCTCTACGCGTCGCTGCTGCTGCTGCTCATCTTGGCCGTGCTGCTCTGCAACCTCAGCGTCATCGTCAACCTGCTCCGCATGCAGCGGAGGGGCAAAGCCACCCGACGGGCGACCGCAGCTGCAGCCGCCGCCGCTTCGTCCTCCTCCTCTTCCCAGCTCCGCCAGACGGAGTCCTCCGACGGCCAGGCGCCCAGCCCCAGGTGCGCGGCCAGGAAGCAGCTGTCCATGTTCGAGGAGCTGGACCACCTCATCCTCCTCGCCATCATCACCATCACCTTCGCTGTGTGCTCCCTGCCTTTCACGGTGAGTGGGAAGGGAGGATGCGATTGGGACGCCCCGGGGGAGCAGTCCAAAATCCCAGGGCAGCCAGCCTGTGAGCTGGCCAAGAGGTGCGGGGTGACCTGCCATGGGGCTGGGGCTGCATCAGAAAAGGGCACTTAAAGAGGTTTACAGTTGTAGAATTGTAGCACTGTAGTGTTGGAAGGGACCCCAAGGGTCATCTAGTCCAACCCCCTGCAATATAAGAATCTCAACTTCTTTGGCCATCCCTCGTAGCTGAGTAAAATTGTCTTCCATAAACACGGTTTTAACAATGAGTCCGTAAGTGACTGTGGAGGCCAATTCTGGATCCACACGTCCTTCCACAGTGGGGACATTGGTTCCCAGGCGGGAGTTGATCAAGGTGTGGATTTGCCAAGTGTGCCTTCCTCTTAGTGTGTTTCTCTCTTGTGTCCTGAGTTCGAGTGTTTTCAAAGCCCATGACCCCTTTGGTAAAGGCTGTTCTCCAACTGGAGTGCTCCGCAGGCAAATGTTTCCCAGTTGTTGGTGCTTATACGTACTACAGTGGTACCTCGGGTTAAGTACTTAATTCGTTCCGGAGGTCCGTACTTAACCTGAAACTGTTCTTAACCTGAAGCACCACTTTAGCTAATGGGGCCTCCTGCTGCTGCCGTGCCGCCGGAGCCCGATTTCTGTTCTCATCCTGAAGCAAAGTTCTTAATCTGGAGCACTATTTCTGTAATCTGAAGCGTATGTAATCTGTAATCTGAAGCGTATGTAACCTGAAGCATATGTAACCCGAGGTACCACTGTACATTTTTTAAGATTTGCCTTGAGACAGTCTTTAAACCTCTTTTGTAGACCACCAGCCTTACGCTTTCCATTTTTAAGTTCCGAATAGAGTAGTTGCTTTGGAAGACGATCATCAGGCATCCGCACAACATGACCAGTCCAATGAAGTTGATGTTGAAGAACCATTGCTTCAACACTGGTGATCTTTGCTTCTTCCAGTACACTGGCATTAGTTCACCTGTCTACCCAAGTGATGTGTAAGAATTTTCAGAGACACCGTTGAGGGAGTCTGTTCCACTGCCGAACAGCTCATACTGTCAGAAAGTTCTTCCTGATCATACAATTGTAGAGCTGGAGGGGACCACGAGGGGCATCTAGTTCAACCCCCTGCAACGCAGGAATCTTTCCCCCCAACATGGGATTTGAACCCTTTGAGATGAAGAGTCTCATGCTCTACAGACTGATGTTTAGCTGGAATCTCCTTTCTTGTCATTTGAATCCGTTAGTTCAGGTCCTACACTATGGAGTAGCAGAAAACAAGCCTCTTTCATGTGATCACAGCCCTTCAGATATTTGAAGGAGGCCAATAATAATAATAATAATAATAATAATAATAATTTTATTTGTATCCCGCCCTCCCCGGCCAAAGCCGGGCTCAGAGCGGCTAACAACAGCCATCACATCATCTCTAAATCTTCTCTTCTCCAGGCCTTTGATAATTTCGGTTGCCCTTTTTGGAACCATTCCCAAAAGTGTTGTTGTTGTTTAGTCGTTTAGTCGTGTCCGCCTCTTCGTGACCCCCTGGACCAGAGCACACCAGGCCCTCCTGTCTTCCACTGCCTCCCGCAGTTTGGTCAAACTCATGCTGGTAGCTTCGAGAACACTGTCCCACCATCTCGTCCTCTGTCGTCCCCTTCTCCTTGTGCCCTCCATCTTTCCCAACATCAGGGTCTTTTCCAGGGAGTCTTCTCTTCTCATGAGGTGGCCAAAGTATTGGAGTCTCAGCTTCAGGATCTGTCCTTCCAGTGAGCACTCAGGGCTGATTTCCTTCAGAATGGATCGGTTTGATCTTCTTGCAGTCCATGGGACTCTCAAGAGACTCCTCCACCACCATAATTCTAAAGCATCAATTCTTTGGCAGTCAGCCTTCTTTATGGTCCAGCTCTCACTTCCATACATCACTACTGGGAAATTCCCAAAAGTACAATATCCTTTTTAAGGCGAGGCAACCAGAACGCTACACAGTTAGGATCCATGGGTCTTCTGCTGGCTGTGGGGCCCTGGCAGATGCCCAGCTTGAGCACCCTCTGCTGCTGGCCCCGAAAGCAGCTGGGTTTGAATCTGCGACCTTCTGCAGGCAGAGCAGGTGTTCTCCCAGTGAGCTCTTGGCCTTCCCCAAAGACCCTGCAGCCTTTTGACGCAGCAGGGCTGATAAGGCAGCTTCCGATGCCCCAGAGTCTTGGATGTTTAGCATTAAGGGCTCAGGATGACTCTTAAAGGCATGTTAAATGTGAGACATCAGTCAATTTCCTCCTGCGATTTATGCCAGTGTCTAACCACGCTTCCTCCCCCGTAAATTTTTATTGATTTTCATACAGTTTAACCAATTCCTTTCAGTTCCCATACAACCTTCCCCTGGTGTTTTGACCTCCCATCCTTACTTCCACGATGTTTCTGTTCAAATCCTTTATTTGCTGCCTTAAATACAGTAAGGTAAAGGTAAAGGGACCCCTGACCATTAGGTCCAGTCATGGCCGACTCTGGGGTTGCGGCACTCATCTCGCTTTATTGGCTGAGGGAGCTGGCGTACAGCTTCTGGGTCATGTGGCCAGCCTGACTAAGCCGCTTCTGGCGAACCAGAGCTGCGCACGGAAACGCCGTTTACCTTCCCGCTGGAGCAGTACCTATTTATCTACTTGCACTTTGACGTGCTTTTGAACTGCTAGGTTGGCAGGAGCAGGGACCGAGCAACGGGAGCTCACCCCGTCATGGGGATTTGAACCACCAACCTTCTGATCAGCAAGTCCTAGGCTCTGTGGTTTTAACCCACAGCACCACCCGCGTCTTAAATACAGTACTCCCCCCCCCCAAAAAAAATCATATATCTTACATTACATCCTTTTGCTTGCCTTTCAAGTCTTGCCTGCAATTTCGTTTGACGAATATTTTCTCAGATGATCCGAAAAGGGTCTCCACTCTTCGCCAGTTTCTTCTTCTTCTTCTAATCATTTGTGTTTGGTTTTACAAATACGAAATTATAACAATCCAAAGACATATCCATGTATTGAGATTACTCTGAATCTCTCGACTTCCCCATATCCCCTCCATGGAATCCTATTTTCAACATTTACAACTGCATATTCTTCCATACTCTAAATTTTATATCAATCCATATTATCCATAGTATTTATTACATTACAAGTGGAATTAAAATCCTGCTAATGTTTCCATCTGCTTATAGTGGTCTCCTAGATAACTTACTTTAAAAATCCCATTCTTTTTAAAAGTTTTTGCTCTCTTGGTTCCGGAGTTTCCCAGTCGGCTTTGCCATTTCGGCATAGACCATCATCTTAGCTTGCCATTCCTCTCTGTTAGGGACTTTGTCTTTTTTCTGTCTCTGGGCTAGTAGCACCTGAGCAACTATTGTTCCATACATGAAAAGTCTTTTCTGCTCCTTTGGGATGTCAGTACCTGTAATTCCTAAAAAGAAAGCTTCTGGGGTTTTTAAACAAAGGTTATTTTACACATTTTCTTTTCATTTCGTTATACAGTCATACCACGGGTTACAGCTGCTTCAGGTTGTGTTTTTTTGGGTTGCGGACCACCGAAACCCAGAAGTACCAGAATGGGTTACTTCCGGGTTTCGGCAGTCTCGCATGCGCAGTAGCGCTAAATCGCGCTTTGCGCATGCGCAGAAGCGCCGAATCGCAACCTGCCCGTGCGCAGACACGGGTTGCGAATGCTGCGGGTTGCAAACGTGCATCCTGCACGGATCATGTTCGCAACCCGAGCGCCCACTGTACAGTATATCATCTCCCAGAAAGCTTTTAGTACCTTACAGGTCCATCACATATGATAGAAGGTACCTTCTTTTTCTTTACATTTCCAGCAGGTGTTTGTACTTGTCCTATTGACCTATTTGCTAGCTTAAAAGGTAAAGGACCCCTGACAGTTAAGTCCAGTCGCAGATGACTCTAGGGTTGCGGCGCTCATCTCGCTTTACTGGTGGAGGGAGCTGGCATTTGTCCGCAGACAGTTTTTCTGGGTCATGTGGCCAGCATGACTGAGTTGCTTCTGGCGAAACCAGAGCAGCACACAGAAACGTCGTTTACCTTCCCACCAAAACGGTACCTATTTATCTACCGTATTTTTCGCTCTATAAGACGCACCAGACCACAAGACGCACCTAGTTTTTGGAGGAGGAAAACAAGAAAAAAAATATTCTGAATCTCAGAAGCCAGAACAGCAAGAGGGATCGCTGCGCAGTGAAAGCAGCAATCCCTCTTGCTGTTCTGGCTTCTGGGATAGCTGTGCAGCCTGCATTCACTCCATAAGACGCACACACATCTCCCCTTACTTTTTAGGAGGGAAAAAGTGAGTCTTATAGAGGAAAAAATACGGTACTTGCACTTTGACGTGCTTTTGAACTGCTAGGTTGGCAGGAGCTGGGACTGAGCAACGGGAGCTCACCCTGTTGCGGGGATTCAAACCGCCAACCTTCTGATCAGCAAGCCCAAGAGGCTCAGTGGTTTAGACCACAGCGCCACCTGCATCCTAGGAGTCAAATACCACTGGTACATCATTTTCATATACAGTGGTAACTCGGGTTAAGAGATTAATTCGTTCTGGAGGTCCGTTCTTAACCTGAAACTGTTCTTAACCTGAGGTACCACTTTAGCTAATGGGGCCTCCTGCCACCACCGCACCGCCGGAGCCCGATTTCGTTCTCATCCTGAAGCAAAGTTCTTAACCCGAGGTACTATTTCTAGGTTTGTGGAGTCTGTAACCTGAAGCGTCTGTAACCCAAGGTACCGCTGTAGTTTTCTTTCAGCATACCTACAACATGCCATAAATTTCAAGTCTGCTTTCCATAACCTTTCCCAATCTGCCAGCTTTAGTCGTTGGAAAGCACAAGGGGGCTTGGGCAGAAGCAAAGATGAAGCTAGATAGAACTGTGATCCTGAAATGAGGGCTGGGTGAGCAATTTGAACCCCTGGTGTGTCAGTGGACGGGGGTGAGGGGAGGAATAGACTTAAGAACTCCCCCAATGATAGAGCAAACACGGTCACCGTAGTAGGACGGTAGGGCTATCCATTGAGCGGTCCAATATCGTCAATGTTATTGGTTCATTCATATTGTCAATAATGAAGAGGCTAAGGAACAGTGGATGGAAATTAAAACCTCATGCAGGAAGAAGAAAGGAAAACTTCCTTCGCGGATTTACAAATTGCTAAATGTCTTAATACGAATTGAAGTCAATCGTTGTAGCTGGGGTACAAGGGATTTTATCAAGAGCGGATTGTAATTGGATTGAGTAATAGATCGGAAGCAGGGTGAAAGGGAATCAACAGACCTTGAAGTACAGCAGGCGGGGGGGGGCATATAAATTTTTATAATTGGCTTTATGATTGATTTGTACTTGAATTTGTACTGCAATTTGGAATTAATATAATAAGGCTTATATTGGATTTTTGTAATTGAAAATTCATGAAAATTGTTTAACAAAAAATAAAATAAAATGAAGAGGCTCGGGAGTAAACCTCACACAAATCTGGAGTGGAGTCCCTAAGGTGGTTTGATGACTCCTTGTACACTTTGTTAATGGAGAAATCTGAGGGCTCCCTTGGACAAAAAACAAGGACACCAGCCAGGAATACCAGAGCAAAACAGCAGCCAGTAGGCTTGGTCTTTATTGAAGACTGTCACGACAGGACTCCCACCTGCCACCAGGTGGAACAAGATGGAAGCCCAGAACAAAAGAGAACCCAAACTTTTATTAGCTGCTAATCCCCATGTTACAACTCCCCCAAACTACATCACTCATACATTATGGTTACATCATGAAAGGAGAGGTCTGGTGGCAGTAATCTGAGCATCCTGGACCCTGCCCCGTGGTTCCCCTTGCCCTCCACCAAACACCCATCAAGTGTAACAAAAGAGATCTTTACATTTCCCTGTTTCCCAGCCAAGTGAATCACACCTTTTGTCTTCGTCTGGCTTTGTTATTTCTGGAATGGCTACCTGTCTGGCACTCAGGTATCAGGATGCCAGGGATTATCCCTCAGGCAGAGGGGCTGCTGAGTAGCTGAGCTCACATGTCTAGATGAATTCCTGAAGTTTTCCCAGTGAGCCAGTACATAGAGACATTTATCAGTGAATTCTTACATTTGGTATCGTGCAGCAAAGGCCCTTTGAATAGATAGGAAGAAACTGTGATGAAGTGTTTTGTGGGGACAAATCACAAAAGTCACAAAAGTGATTGTGATGATTTTGGTAGTGAGCTACATGTGCATGGTATCTGCTGGAGGGGCAACCCCCCCCCCCAACCTATAAATAAATTCCTGCAACACCCCTATTTGGCCCATGCGTCCATTTCACAGAATATCAGGTGTGGAGCAGATAAAGACATGAAGAGGGCTGTGCCTTTGCCTGTGATATCTGCTGGAGGGGTAAACCCCCCCCCCAGCAACCTATACATAAATTCCTGCAACAGCCTCCTTCCAGCAACTCCTGCAGCCAAACTGGTGCCAAACATCTTGCTCTACTTTCCTTTGGACCCCGCCAGCAAGGCCGAGGGGGGGGGGTCTTGTCGTCTGGGTAGTTCAGGACCTCCAGACACACTGCCCAGGCTTGCGCCCCGGGGGGGGGGGTGTCCCTTTGGACCTGCTAACACAGAAGTTTGACTTCACCCCCGGAGGCTCACCCCCATTGTCTCTCGAGACGGATGGATGACAACAATAACACAAAACATTGCCCGGTATTCCAGGGATGGTTAGGTGGATACAATCTGTAATGTTCAGTCCACCTTCGGGACTCTTTCCAGCCTCTCGCGGCATAAAAAGGGGAAACTCTTAAAAAGTGCAATAGAATGCAAAACATTTAAATGGCTTTCTGTTTATATGCGTTAGTTTTTACGGCATGAGATGAGCAAGCCAACTGTGTAAACAAGGCTGAAATCCCAGGGAGCTGCTAGCAATAGCACAGCAGCCAGCTCAAATTAGCCAGAGGGCGGCTTTTTACAAAATGAAAATACCACACATGGAAAAGCCAGAAGCAAATGCTGAGTCAATATATATGACGAGGAGAAACTTTGGGCTGGTTCACACTACCTCCTCTTGCCCCATGCGCAGGTCTGAGTGGCTGCAGTTACCATCCATTTTACCCATTTACATTCCTCTTTTGTTTTTAACTCGGTACTACTCGGGCTAATAAGAACCATTAATAAGAACCATTAATTTAGATATTTCTCTCTCTGTGTCTCTTTCTGTCCTTACAGTCTCATCCCAAAGTTTATTATAACAGGATATTGACATTCGGCTGTTGGCCCCCAGTATTTAGCTCTGGGTTTCAACAGCCTTGAAACATCTTCTCCACTTCATTTGCGCCCCCCCCCCCGCCAGCTGAGTCATAACTGGAGAAGGTGCAGCTGGGAGATCTGCAATGGGCCGGGTCAGAAAGGGGAAGCTGCAGTTGTGTGTCCTTTCGTCCTGGACTGCCTGGGACTTTCTCAGCTGGTATTTAGCACAGTGATAAGTCACCATCCTGAGTCTGCGTGTGAGAATTCCCGCTTTCCCAGTGGGACCTTCTCCTCCCCTAAATCTGCTTTGGGGGCTCCCACTACACTCGGAAGCAGATTTTGGGGGAGGGTGCAAGGCGAAGGGAGAGAGATGAGCGGAAGTCTCGTTACGCAAGCAGAAATCCTATGACAGCTGTTTGGGGCTGCCTGGGATTCCAGTGATTTAGTTCATGCGTGCCCCCATTACTTTCGGGGGAGGAATATAAAATATTGAAAGGAGGGTGAAATATACTCGGAGTCGAGTGTGGATTTCATGCTCTATATTCAGCTCATAGTAGTGAGGAATGAAAGTTCCCCCCAAATAGCTGCTTTATATACATTATTTACACAATAGGTCGCACCTGATTGGCTAATTCTGGGATTCTCCTGTAGGCCAATCAGGTTGCGGATTCACTTCCACCTGGAGCTGGATTGGGTGGCTCCTGTGGACCAATCAGACTGCTGCATTGTTCTAGGACCAATCAGACTGCTGCCTTCTGGACCCTATTGTTCTAGGACCAATCAGACTGCTGCATTCTGGACCCCATTGTTCTAGGACCAATCAGACTGCTGCTTTTTGGATCCTATTCAAACTCAGCACATAACAGAGGGCTAATAATAGATCACCAGTGTTGAAGCAATGATTCTTCAACATCAACTTCGTTGGACTGGTCATGTTGTGCGGATGCCTGATGATCGTCTTCCAAAGCAACTACTCTATTCCAAACTTTGTGACAAGTGAGTGCTGCAGGTCACTTTTGGAACCTCACAAAGATCATGTACCACGTAGCATGATTACTTTGCGAGGAGATCTGAATTCAGTGGTGAAGCATCTGTTCTGCATGTAGAAACAGATCTTGGGTTCTGTCCCTGATATACCCCATGACAGGTGAATATGTCCATTTCCACTGTCGGAAACAGTACAGTGGTACCTCGGGTTAAGAACTTAATTCGTTCTGGAGGTTCATTCTTAACCTGAAAGGGTTCTTAACCTGAGGTACCACTTTAGCTAATGGGGCCTCCCGCCACCGTGCAATTTCTGTTCTCATCCTGAAGCAAAGTTCTTAACTCGAGGTACTATTTCTGGGTTAGCGGAGTCTGTAACCTGAAGCGTCTGTAACCCGAGGTACCACTGTACTCTATTCCGAACTTAAAAATGGAAAGCGTCAAGTCATGCTGGTGGTCAACAAAAGAGGTTTAAAGACTTTCTCAAGGCAAAACTAAAAAAAAATGTAGTATAAACACTAACAGTTGGGAAACACTGGCCTGTGAGCGCTCCAGTTGGAGAACAGCCTTTACCAAAGGTGTCATGGGCTTTGAAGACACTCGAACTCAGGACACAAGGGAGAAACGTGCTAAGAGGAAGGCACAGGGAGAAGCTGGGAGGGAGGGAGGAGGCTCAGCCGGCGGCAACATGTGAAGGAGAGGGAGGGAGAGGGAAAGAATGCGTGAGTGCTGGCAATTCCCGGACTGTCCGTGGGCTGCAGCCAGAAGGCAATTGGGCCTGATCCAGCCCGTGGACCTTAGTTTGCTGACCCATACTCTAACCATTATGCCACACTGACTCTGCCCTACAACAGGTTCTTCCAAACCATGGTGGCAGAGAGGGCTATCAAAGGCTACTAGCCATGATGGCTGCCGTTGGAGCCCAAACTTCCATCAGCTCCAGCCAGCACTGGGCAACGTTCAGGGATACAACAGTCTGGAAGGACACAGTTTTCCCATCCCTGTTTTGAATGGTGAATAAACTGAGGCATGGATACATGAGGAGTTTTGCAGGTCTTATTGCTTCCAGGGCTTCCTGAACGCCACGATTCTGCAGAGGGGAGGGGAGGGTGCCATAATGAATGGAGATTCCTGCAAATCTCAGAATTATTTCTGTGAATTCTCAGAAGGAGGGGGGGGTATTGTTTTGTTATTTGGGTTTAATTACTTTCTCGTGTATTGCATTTTATTCTGTGAGCTGCCCTTTTAATGGCGGGCGGTATATAAATTTAATAATAAAAACAATAAGTAAAATAAAATTATAAAACCAAAATTAAGTTTCTTTTTACATATATAATTTTAAAATTAAATTTTCTGTTACACAATTTAAAATACTCATTTTAACATCCTTAAAATATCAATGACTTCCCTTCTTTTCCTTCCATGGTCCATTTTGCGTATCATAGATTCCTGCATATTTTACAAAAACTAAACCATTCAATATTCCACAAATGCATCCATCAAACCTAATTTACACTGTTGAATTTATCTTAATGCTGCCAACGTTTTCAGGTGTACACAATTCCCCCCTCCATATATTCAATAAACATTTTCCAGTCTTCTTTAAACATACGTTCTTCTTGTTCTGTTATTCTATATGTTAAGTCTGTGAGTTGTGCATATTCTGTCATCTTAAATCACCGTTCTTCTTTGGTTGGGACCTTGCTCCCATGAGAGCCAGTGTGGTGTAGTGGTTAAGAGCGGTAGTCTCGTAATCTGGGGAACCGGGTTCGCGTCTCCGTCCTCCACATGCAGCTGCTGGGTGACCTTGGGCCAGTCACACTTCTCTGAAGTCTCTCAGCCCCACTCACCTCACAGAGTGTTTGTTGGGAGGAGGAAGGGAAAGGAGAATGTTAGCCACTTTGAGACTCCTTAAAGGGAGTGAAAGGCAGGATATCAAATCCAAACTCTTCTTCTTCTTCTGCTCATTTTCCATTTGGGGGCTAACGAAACACGGGCCACAGTAGTAGCATACATAAATAACCTTTTTTGACACCTGGGAATTTCATTCTGAATTATCCCCAATAGAAAGGACTCTGGTTGTTGTTTTTTGGAAAAGTGAATTTTAAACATCCCCCCACCCCAATTCATTACAGATTATTTAGATACAAAAGTAAGTTTCTGGCTGACGCTGCCTGACACTTCACAAGCCAGTAAGAATTCTGGTGGTTAGGTGGGGGCGGGGGGGTTAGCGTTGCTCAGAGTCTTGCATAACTCCTTCCTTTCCCAAGAAATAGCAAAATAAGACAAATGATGCATAGCACTTAAGTCCAGCTGGACCAGGCCAAACTCCCATCTATTACAGCATGCAGTTCTCATGGTGGCCAGTCAGCTGCCCCATGAGAAACTTGCAAGCAGGGTCTGAGCAAAAGAGCGCATCTTCCCAGCTTGTGACTCCTAGCAGCTGGTGCATGCTGCAAAATGAGACCAGTGGCACACCTTTGTCTGTTTTTGTTTAGCCGTTTACTCGTCTCCGACTCTTCGTGACCCCCTGGACCAGAGCACGCCAGGCCCTCCTGTCTTCCACTGCCTCCCACAGTTTGGTCAAACTCATGCTGGTAGCTTTGAGAACACTGTCCCACCATCTCGTCCTCTGTTGTCCCCTTCTCCTTGTGCCCTCCATCTTTCCCAGCATCAGGGTCTTTTCCAGGGAGTCTTCTCTTCTCATGAGGTGGCCAAAGTCTTGGAGCCTCGGCTTCAGGATCTGTCCTTCCAGTGAGCACTCAGGGCTGATTTCCTTCAGAATGGAGAGGTTTGATCTTCTTGCAGTCCATGGGACTCTCCAGAGTCTCCTCCAGCACCATAATTCAAAAGCATCCATTCTTCGGCGATCAGCCTTCTTTATGGTCCAGCTCTCACTTCCATACAACACTACTGGGAAAACCATAGCTTTAACTATACGGATCTTTGTCTAGTGTGCATCATTTTGAAGGTGGCTGTGCAAGACACTTCCCTGGGAGTAAGCTCTACTGAATATCGCCTTACCCCATCCATGCGTGCTCATTCCGCTGCTTCGATCTGCAGAAAAGGCACTCTCACAGGGACCTGTTAGGCACTTGATCTTTTGGCATGGTAGCCCCTGCCCATTTTTTAAAAAATACAATTTTTTTATTGAGATTTCCCAGTAAAATTGCAGCCACGAAAGGTACAAAACAAAGGAGAAAAACGGAAGAAGAAAAGAAAGGGGCTATAGAGATAAAGGGAGGAAAGAGAGAGTGAGAAAGAAAGCAGAAGGAAAGAAACATGAGCAAAAATAATAATAATGCAAAAGGGGAACTTCCAATTTTCCGTCTGCTGTTTACATAAAAGAAGAAACTATTTAAACTAGTCACCAGCACTACACTTTGTGACAAGTGAGTGCTGCAGGTCATTTTGGAACCTCACAAAGATCATGTACCACGTAGCATGATTGCTTTGTGGGATGATCTGAATTCAGTGGTGAAGCCTCTGTTCTGCATATAGAAGCAGATCTTGGATTCTGTCCCCGATAAACCCCACGAAAGGTGAATATGTCCATTTCCACTATCGGAAACAGTACAGTGGTACCTCGGGTTAAGAACTTTATTCGTTCTATAGGTCCATTCTTAACCTGAAACTGTTCTTAACCTGAGGTACCACTTTAGCTAATGGGGCCTCCCGCTGCCGCCACGCCGCCAGAGCACGATTTCTGTTCTCATCCTGAAGCAAAGTTCTTAACCCGAGGTACTATTTCTGGGTTAGCGGAGTCTGTAACCTGAAGCATCTGTAACCTGAAGTGTCTGTAACCCGAGGTACCACTGTACTCTATTCCGAACTTAAAAATGGAAAGCGTCATGCTGGTGGTCAACAAAAGAGGTTTAAAGACTTTCTAAAGGCAAATCTTAAAAAATGTAGTATAAACACTGACAACTGGGAAGCACTGGCCTGCGAGCGCTCCAGTTGGAGAACAGCCTTTACCAAAGGTGTCATGGGCTTTGAAGATACTTGAACTCCAGACCATAGCTGTCAACCATCCCTTATTTGACGGGAAAGTCCCTTATCCCAGCGCTGTGTCCCGCTGCTGTCCCTTATTGATGATGTCCCTTAAATTTCCCCGGTTTCAAAGGAAGCAGCTCCTCTCCCTCCATCCCTGCTGGCCAGGGAGGAGGGAGGCTCCAAGTGTGTTGCCTGGCTGTGTTGCTCACCCAATAAGGAGTCTAAGAACGACTGGGGGGGTGGAGCTTGCATGCCTTGTGCCAATCAAATCGGCCGTGTTGCCTGGGGACTCGCCTTTGCTCAGCGCTTCCCAGCGGAGAGGTGACGGTGGTTTTCCTTGCTGCATCCCCTTTGCCGGGTTGCTGCGCTGTGGGAACCACCGCTTGAGGCTTTGTTTGGCTGCTGGCTGGGCTTTCTGCTTTTGGCTCGGAGGGGCTCAGAAGTTGAACATACCTGTGTTCGAAAATCCCTTATTTTGGCTGCTGATCCCTTATTTTCGAGGCTGCTGGTCCCTTATTTTCAAATCTGTAAGTTGACAGCTATGCTCCAGACACAAGGGTTACGTGCTAAGAGGAAGGCACGCTTGGCAAATCCACACCATGATCAACTCCTGCCCGGAAACCACTGACCCCATTGTGGAAGGACGCGTGGATCCAGAATTGGCCTCCACAGTCGCTTACGGACTCATTGCTAAAACCGTGTTTATGGAAGACAATCTTACTCAGCTATGAGGGATCACCAAAGAGAGAGAGAAAGCTTACTGGGAAATGATATATAATAAATTGAAAAGGATGTCTAAAATAACGCTTGTGAAAAAACACACACAAAAACCTCCAGAAGCTTTTCTTTTGAGAATTATAGGGACAGAACTACCTAAATAGTATAGACATTTATTTATGTATTCTACTAAAGCGGCAAGAATGATACTTGCCCCAAAATGGAAAGAAGCAGAAGTCCCAGCAAAGGAAGAATGGATACAAAAACTTATGGAATATGCAGAAATTGCAAAACTTACCCGAAGAATAAGAAATCAAGATGACAAACTTTTTTATATAAAAGAATGGAATTGGTTTATTGAATATTTACAGATAAATTGTAAACAGATAAGAACAATGGCAGGATTATTGTCATAGCCTGCGGTTTTATACCAGCATATATTTAAAACAGATGAAAATTAAATGAGCAAATTAAGTTACCGTATTTTTCGCTCTATTAGATGCACCAGACCACAAAACGCACCTAGTTTTTGGAGGAGGAAAACAAGAAAAAAAATATTCTGTATCCCAGAAGCCAGAACAGCAAGAGGGATCGCTGCGCAGCGAAAGCAGCAATCCCTCTTGCTGTTCTGGCTTCTGGGATAGCTGCGCAGTCTGCATTCGCTCCATAAGACGCACACACATTTCCCCTTACTTTTTAGGAGGGAAAAAGTGAGTCTTATAGAGCAAAAAATACGGTAGTTTGGATATGCAAAAGTTATGAAAAATACATTTAAGGAACTGCAGAAAGGGGGGAAAGGAAGTCAAGTTTTGAAATGTTAAAATGATTGTCAAGTTAGTGGAAATGTATAAACCTGAAAAGCAAAAATAAATTTATTTTAAAAAAAGAAGTGGGAAGGAGCAGCGAAGGGAGACTCAGAGGCTGAAAAGGGAGGCTGGCGTAGGCCTGGAGGCAAAACCACAGCCACAAATTCACCCTGGACTGTGAGCCAGACCCTCAACAATTTCCTGTGTTCTGCTCCAGCCTTATAAAGAACCTTCTTGCTGCTGCAATGCAGTTAAGTCCACACAGTCAGAGCATCCTTTGAAGCGTTTCCTGTATTAGGGGGGCTGACGTAATTCTCTGCAGCCTTTTCCACCCGTAAAACGCTTGAGGTTCAAAAGCAGATCCCAACATGCCTCCTCCGTTTAACGAATATTCCTGGGCGTGCTATTGTCCTTCTCCGCTGCCCTGTGAAGTTTTGACATCAGGGCTTCACTGTACTCTTTACAGCAGCTGCTGAAAACATTTTTGTTCAGACAAGCCTAGCCAGGCATGAGAACATAAGAGCCCGCTGGATCAGGCCAAGGGCCCATCTAGTTCTCATAGTGGCCGGCTTTTTGCGACTGAATTATGGTGCTGTAGGAAACACTTGAGAGTCCCATGGACTGCAAGAAGAACAAACCTCTCCATTCTGAAGGAAATCAGCCCTGAGTGCTCACTGGAAGGACAGAGGCAGTGGAAGACAGGAGTGCCTGGCATGTTCTGGTCCATGGGGTCACAAAGAGTCAGACATGACTAAACAACTAAACAGCAATAGCAGTTTAGCAATTGTATAGCGCACGAGGCTTAAAATGTTATGGGTTTTATTTTATAGAATTTATACGCCATGTGATTGGTAAAAACAGCAACTCCCTCAGAGTGGTTTACAAGGAGAACAAAACAATGACATCGTCAGTAAAAAACAAGTCCTTAAAACATTCAGGAGGAACAAAACCCCAGCAATAAACTGAAAACAGATTGAATGTCAGAAGCAAGCTAGCAGTAAATCACACCATGCACATCAGAGTTAACTCTTGATTGGCAAAAATACCATCTGCCAGGACCTGGCAGAGTGTCAGGCCTAATGAGTACAGCATCTCCATCCCGGTAGGTCTTGCCCCCATGAAGCAGTTGCTGAGACTGAAGGTCCCCACAGCTGCCTAAGTCATCTCCTCTCTAGGGTTTTCCAAGCAATTGGAGACTGTGCCTGCATTCCAGCCTTTGCTCCTCGCTCTTCATGCCTCTTCTGGCCCTGGGAGACAAGGGGGAAGTTTGTCACAGCAGGAGGGGAAGACACCTGTGACTCTTCACCAGCCTAACTCATCTCTGCCTCTCTCTTTTTTAGAAATAATTTTTATTCTTTTTCAATTACAAAAACCCAATATAAGCCTTATTATATCAATACCGAATTGCAATACCAATTTGAATACAAGTCAATCAAATAGCCAACTATTAAATTTAGGTGGCTCCCTGCATGCTAGCCTTCAAGGTTTAATAATTCCCTTTAATTACTGTAATGGTTCTAGGGGTTGCTCGTGCGTAAATGGGTGCCCCACCTGGCTGGGTTGCCTGAGTGAACCTTTTCTGTCCGGACAGCCACTCGCCCGTGGCTGTCTCAATCGCTGGCAGAATCCGTCAGTGGGCGTTTCTTGAACTTCTTCCAGCACAGAAGTTCTTGGACGCCTAGTCTCCGCCTAGTCTCCCTGCGCGGAAGCCTTCTGCGCAGGGAGGGTGTGGGCAGCGGAGGACCCGTGCTCTCCCCACTGGTCCCCAGCGAAGAGTCATGGAGCCACCTCGCCGATTCCCCATCTGCCCCCTTCTCCACTGGTGCTACGCTGATTCTCTTCCCCAGAAGATGTGCTGCTTCTCTCCCTCCCGGGACGCTCTCCGGAATCCCTCTGGAGCCCTCCCTCTCCCTCTGGCTCCGATGGCAGTTCCATGACAATTACGATCCAATCTTAATAAGAATCCCTTATACCACAGCTACAATGTTTTAATTTCAATTCATATTAGCACATTTAATCATTTATGTGTCCGCTAGTGAAATTCTCCTTTCTTCTTCCTGTGTGAGGTATTTATTTTAATCAATTATTCCTTTGCGTCTTTGCCAAATAGTATGTCCACCTTGGTTATTCCTGGTCTCTGTCATGCCTTGTGTCTTTTTGTCTCGATGCCATTCTAGAGCAGGCATGGCCAAACTTGGCCCTCCAGATGTTTTGGGACTACAATTCCCATCATCCCTGACCACTGGTCCTGTTAGCTAGGGATGATGGGAGTTGTAGTCCCAAAATATCTGGAGGGCCGAGTTTAGCCATGCCTGTTCTAGAGAGATCTCTCTTTTTTTGTTTTCCAGCCCCTCTGGCTGCAGTTGTAAAATCCCACCCATCTCTGCCTCTTGACCTCCCTTGTCCCACTTGCCTGCTTCAGCTTCTGCCTCCGATTCTGGACTTCTCTCTGCCATAGACTCTCCCAGCTCACCAAGTCCTGTTACTGCTTCAGCTTCCGACATCTTCTCTTCCCAGTCTTCTCCCTGTGTCCACTCATCGTTGCCCCACCACCAATCCCTGGGCTCTGAGCCTTCTTTCCTTGGAGGTTCCCCAACTGGTCCCTTCCACCATTCCTCTGCGTCCAGCCAGTCCAAGACATTGAAACATATATATCAACGTTCTACATGGAATGTCAAATTATCACTTCCACAGGAGGCAGTGATGGTTAGTGGCTGAGATGGCCTGGGACTCGGGCTTGGACTTGGAACCAGAGGAGTCTCAGTCCGCAACGGATCCTTTGCCTCAGGCATCACTTAAACCAAGTCCAGGGCCTGATCCTGAAGAGTCCCAGTCTGCAAAGTTTCCCCTGCAACAAACACCAGCTGGGCCGAGTCAGGGGCCTGAGCCTGCCCTGGCTCCAGATGTGGGGATGACCTCGTTGCCTCCAGCTGGGCCATCACTTACAGCTGCTCCACTACCAGTTGGGTCAGGGGAGGCTGAGGCGGCCCCTGGGTCTAGTAACCCACCGACATCTCCCGAGCTGCAGAGACTAAGGTCTGAGGGAAGGAGAGACCTGAGTACTCACAGGAGGACTGTTAACCTTCAGGCGAAACAGGGAGGTGAGTCGCCGGGGGATCAGGACTGGCCGCTACCCCGACAAAGATAAAAGGCTGTCGGACTCTGCCACAGGTTGCGGGAGCAACATTGCTGTATGCCAGATCCTGCCTGAGATCCTGTACCTGCCCTTGCCTGGTTTTCTGCCTAGTGTCCTGCCTTGGCCCTGTCAGACTGACGCCTAGCAGAACCTTCGGATTCTGGACCGGCCCTGGACAGCGTTGCACGGGTTATCCCTGGGCCCAGCACAGTGGCTGCTAGCCATGACAGCAATGTCCTGTCTCCACTTTTGGAGACAGCAATGTTTGTGAATGTTTAGTCGTTTAGTGGTGTCCACCTCTTCGTGACCCCATGGACCAGAGCATGCCAGGCACTTCTGTCTTCCACTGCCTCCCGCAGTTTGGTCAAACTCATGTTTGTAGCTTCGAGAACACTGTCCAACCATCTCATCCTCTGTTGTCCCCTTCTCCTTGTGCCCTCCATCTTCCCCAACATCAGGGTCTTTTCCAGGGAGTCTTCTCTTCTCATGAGGTGGCCAAAGTCTTGGAGCCTCAGCTTCAGGATCTGTCCTTCCAGTGAGCACTCAGGGCTGATTTCCTTCAGAATGGAGAGGTTTGATCTTCTTGCAGTCCATGGGACTCTCCAGAGTCTCCTCCAGCACCAGAATTCAAAAGCATCAATTCTTCGGCAATCAGCCTTCTTTATGGTCCAGCTCTCACTTCCATACATCACTACTGGGAAAACCATAGCTTTTACTATACGGACCTTTGTGGGAAAGGTGATGTCTCTACTTTTGCTAAACAGTGTGTTGTTATTCTTGTTTCTTTCCAGGTCCGTGCCTTTATGAACCATTTTGACCCGGGTGTGGATTACAAGGAAGACCTTCAGGCAATGCGGTTCCTGTCCTTCAACTCCATCATTGACCCCTGGGTGTTTGCCATCCTCCGGCCCCCCATCCTGAGGGTGATACGCTCTGTCCTCTGCTGCCGGGTGCCCCTAAAACCACGAACTACGGACAGGCAGAGGCCTCCCTTTGCCAAACCAAAGCCCGTCGAACAGGCTGGCATTTGCAGGCAGTGAACGGTCTCCTGCTTTTGGAGAAGAAGTTTGAAAGTCCATCTCTGGACAGTTCCTCAGGGTAATTCCAGGAGAATGGCTGGAATTCTCCATTCCCATGTTGGCATGCCTGGTGAACATCAAAGTATGCGCTGTCCTGCATTTCCCTAGGGTGATTGTCTGAAATGACTCCGTCCTAGACCTGTAGAGTTTGAAGGGACTTTTAGGAATCCTACTCTACTCCAATGTTCTGCCATGGGGGAATCACAGCTAAAGACATCCTGGCATAGGTAGGTAGCCGTGCTGGTCTGCCGTAGTCGAAACAAAATTTTAAAAATGGACATAAATCTGACATCAGGAATCACAAGACAGAGAAACCAGTAGGAGAAGACTTCAATCTCCCAGGACATTCTATACAAGATCTCAAAAGTAGCTGTCATATTACAAAATAATTTCAGAAATAGACTGGAAAGAGAAGTTGCTGAATTGCAACTTATTACCAAACTTAAAACCATGGAGAGACCTGGTCTGAATAGAGACATTGGAGTCTTATCTCATTATACATGATAAAGCTATTTTTGGCCATCTCACCCCTTGCTTTTTCCTGTAAGACCAATTGCAGTCGTTAACAGTCGTCAGCTGGTTTACCACACCTATCAGCCAATCACCCATTCCCACCACCCTCTCACGATATATAAGGGTCCGGTGACTTCTGTTTCAGTGTAACTGAAGAAGTGTGCATGCACACAAAAGCTCATACCAATAACAAACTTAGTTGGTCTCTAACGGGCTACTGGAAGGAATTTTTTTATTTTGTTTCGACTTCCTGACAGATGGCCATCCATCCTAACTGTTCACCAGGAAACACTCGGGTGGCAACATTGGAGACTGTTCAGATTGGAGACAACATCAGATCATTGGTCCATCTGACTCATCACTGTCTTTGCTTCCTGGAATTTTCTCTTCCGGATTTCAGGCAGGGGTCTTTTCCATCCTCACCTGGAGATGCCTAAGATTGAATTTGGGGGATTTTGCATGCAAAGCAGTTGCTCTGATGCTTAGATGGGTCGACCTTACGTTGCACTGAGAGCAAGGGAAAATTATCTCCCCGAGGAACCATTATTTGTTTGCAAAACACTCTGTGACCAAAAGTGTCGTCTTTGTGCGTTTCTTCTCTTCAATGAAGCCCGGGGCCAATGCAAAGAACATGATGCACACTTTATCAATGGCTGTTGAATGCAATTGGATATTTATCTTCGAGGGGTTTTCTCCCTCCTGTTTGCTTTGACATCAGATGCTATATGTCAGTAAAACTGTGTTTGGTCGTTGGTCAATGTGATAAGATCCGTATTAGCTTGCGTTATCTTATATGAACCATTAGCTTTGTCGTCTACGCACTGAAATCAACATCTTCCAATCCAGAAGGAAGATGCTCTTACCTGAAGCAGGTAGAAGCATAATTTACTAGTGCAAACTATGCACAAAATGGCCAGTAAGTGTGGAAAGTAGATAGGAGGCAGAATGTGGAGACGTTCGCTTCTGAGAGGTTGGGTCTTTTAACTGAATTGAATTGAAATTGAAATTGAAAGACTTTATTGTCACTTGTACAACTTGTATACAGTGAGGTTACACGAGCACTCCACACTCAGCTCTCCTAGTCTTAATTCCCCTCGTTTACTGCCGCACACCCACCAAACCAGAAAGTCAGCTGCCCTGTTGTTATCTTTTCATTCAGCAGCCTAACAGCCCACGGATAGAAGCTGTTCTTTACCCTGTTGGTGCAACTAATCGTGCTTCTATATCTTCTGCCCGAGGGCAGGAGATCAAGAAAGTGCTGGCCAGGGTGTGAATCATCTCCTGAGGCAACGTTCTTCCACTATTTCATCCAGCGGATTCACGGGACAGCCCATAATATCTTGTTCTGTATTCACCACCCTCTGTAGGCACTTCCTATCAGTTGATGTCAAACCAGCGTACCACACCGTGATGCAGTAGGAAAGGACACTTTCTATTGTGGACCGGTAGAAGGAGATCATCAAATGTTGGTTGACATCGTTCTTCCGCAATACTCTGAGGAGATGGAGTCTCTGTTGGGCTTTCTTAAACACCTGGGTTGTATTGATCTTCCAAGTAAGGTCTTCACTGAGATAAACTCCTAGGAATTCAAAGGAAGAGACTCTCTCCACACAGCCCTCCCTCATGTACAGCGGGGCTAGTTCTCCTCTCTTCCTCCAAACATCCAACACCATCTCCTTTGTCTTGCTGATAGTAAGGTGCAAGTTGTTCCCTAGGCACCATGTAGATATTAATATTAATAATAATATTAATATTAATAGCATAAGAACAACAATAGCTCTGCTGGGTAAGCCCCTGGCCCATCTGGTCCAGTATATGGTCCTCACAGTGGCCACCCAAATATCTGTGGGGCACTCAAAAGCAGGATCCAACCTCAGGAGCCCTTTCTCCTGCTGCGGTTTCCAGCAGCTGAGATCCAGAAGCACTTCCTCTGACTGTGGAGGCAGGCCATCGCTAGTAGCAGCTGATAGCCCTCCCCTCCAAGAATTTTATTTATTATTACTATTATTTATTAAATTTGTATGCCGCCCTTCGTCCCCAGATCTCAGGGCAGTTCACGGCATAAAACTACAAGATAAAAAAAACGCAAAATACCGTATTTTTTGCTCTATAAGACTCACTTTTTCCCTCCTAAAAAGTAAGGGGAAATGTGTGTGTGTCTTATGGAGCGAATGCAGGCTGCACAGCTATCACAGAAGCCAGAACAGCAAGAGGGATTGCTGCTTTCACTGCGCAGCGATCCCTCTTGCTGTTCTGGCTACTGAGATTCAGAATATTTTTTTTCCTGTTTTCCTCCTCCAAAAATTAGGTGCGTCTTGTGGTCTGGTGCGTCTTATAGAGTGAAAAATATGGTACATTCAGCCTCTTTGGATGTCCCTAAGATCTAGTGTAATGAGAGAGAGAAGGGAAGTTTTCTCAGTCTAATTTCTCCTTGCCATGCATCATTTTGTCAACTTCAGTCCTGTCGCCTGTCTCTCACCTTTCTGCTCAGTTGAGAGTCCCAGTTGCTGCAACCTTTCTTCATAAGGGGGTTTCTGTTTATTAGCCATGATAGCAAATGGAGCCTCCATGTGCATAGGCAGTTTATCTTTGAATACCTGATGGTGGAGACAAACAGCATAGGTGTTCGTAGGGCTTACAATGCTAAGCCAAGGAAGTTCGCAGCAGCCCCATCTTACCCTGGTTAGCAGTCAACACTAAACCATGGCCTGTTCAACCATGGTTTATTAAACCATGGCTTAGTACAGGTTTGGGAAACCTTTAGCCTTACAGATTTTGCTGAACTATGACTCCCATAAGCCCCAGCAAGCCAGGGGTGATGGGAGTAGTCGTTCTGGAAGGCCAAAGCTTCCTCAAACCTGGTTTAGTGCTTTAATAAACTTCACGGATGGTATTATCCGCCCAGCAACTTAACTATGGTTTGTTTATTGCCAACAAACTCTGCTCTGAAGCCATGGTTTGTTGCTGTCTCTCGTCTGTCAGACAACTTGTTTCAGCTTGCTGCTTATTAAACAAACTGTGGTTTAAGCAAACCATGGTTTAGTGTTACGTGTAAATCAGGACATTATTCAGGAGGGCTCCCAACAGGCTGCTGAAATGCAGATGGCTGAAATCACAGAATTATAGAGATGGAAGGGACCCAAAGGGCCATCTAGTCCAACCCCTGGCAACGCTAATCCTGTGAGGGGATGGGAACTTTTCAATTCATTAAACTCCTTGCGAATCGAAGCTGTTGTTTTAACATGATGCTGCATAACCTGTTGTCAAGGCTGCCTCAAGTCTTAGCTCACAAAAGACCAACGCCTATGTCTTCTTATATACAAAGGTGTTTATTGCAGTTCATGGTTTGCTTGACATCCTAGGCGCGCAGCCTTACGTCTCTTACGCTAGACCGCTGAAGTCCCCTCTGAGTCAGTCCTTCCACTGCACCAATTTAAGAGACTTGAGCTGCTCCACCTCTTTCTCTACTTCCTTTTCCGCAGGGTCCTTCTGCCCACTGGGGTTTCGCCCTCCTGGATTCCTCTGACGCGGAATCAGACTGCTCTTCCCCCTCCTGCGGGCTTTGGGACCTGGCCCCTCCTCCGGGCTCCCTGCACTTCCGCGCGCCTCTACATTTGAACTAGGCGCGCGCGCCAAACCTCTAACTTTCCTTTTGACAGTTACACTACTCCCTTCACTGCTCCTCCCTTCCGGGAGGGCGGCTTGCTCTGACCCCCTCCTTTCTCTGCTGCTGGAGCTGCTTCCTCTGACACACTGGAAACTCCACCCCTTCGCTGCACTCAGGTGGGGAGGCTGGTCCTGACGCCCAGCTGCCCCTTTGGGATCCTCCGCTGGCACCCTGCTCCTGACACTTCCCCCTGGGGCTCCCTGGCCTTGACCACCGGCGCCCCTTCTGGGAATCCTCTGATTCGCTGGAAAGACTCATGGAATCTCTTGAGTCATTGTCATCCTCTTCCTCGCTGGCTTGGAATTCCTCCCCATCGCTCTCCATCTCCTGCCTACCCTGTGCCTCTCTCCCTGAACCCCTGACACCTGTATTGCTGTAACACCACTCTGGGGACTTTTAACGGCAAAGGGGAGTACAAGAAAGCTTATAAATGAAATAAATTTGGAAGGATGCCATGGTTTGTTCCTTTTGGGATTCTGTTTCAGAAATATTTAAGGAAGAGGTGCAAAATAAAACTTCGTTTCCTCTTGGGTCTTTTGTGTTTTTTGCTCTTCCTCGTGTTTCCTCCGCATTTCTCTGCTGCTCCCCGTGGCTTTTCGGAAGATAAAAATAGTGCTGAGATCTGCCCTCCCAGTTTCTAAAAAGTTCTCTTCCTCTGAGCAAGGGGCCGCCTCACTCGCATTATAACTTGAGAATTCATTTGGGGGTCTTGAGTTTACTCCTCAAAGAAAGATATTTTCCCCCTGGGCGAATTGGGAGGGTGAGGCATAAGGAATAAACTGTTATATAAAAGCAGCCTGGTGTTTTTCAACAAGGAAAGTAATCCTGCTAGGATTTCAAGGCGGGACAGCAATAATCCTCTATAAATGCTTCCCGCTTTATAGTGGCATAGCTCCTAGGTTACAGGAATCCAGTTGGGCTGGAAGTTTAGAAATATTACTGCTGTGAAAGGAAACCATCCAACATCTGATGACTCTTAATGGCAAGACTAAGGTCTCCTTTTCTTTAAACAGCTTTCCGCTAAGTGATGTTTTCCAGCTGCTTCGGACTACAGCTCACATAAGCTGATGGGAATTGTGGTCCCACACAGCTGGAGGCCTAGGATGGGAGAGAAACTCAATTTGGTCCACATTTAAAGGCAAAATAGACGCGGGTGGCGTTGTGGGTTAAACCACAGAGCCTAGGGCTTGCCAATCAGAAGGTCGGCGGTTCGAATCCCCGCGACGGGGTGAGCTCCCGTTGCTCGGTACCAGCTCCTGCCAACCTAGCAGTTCGAAAGCACACCAGTGCAAGTAGATAAATAGGTACCACTCCGGTGGGAAGCTAAACGGCATTTCCATGCGCTGCTCTGGTTCGCCAGAAGCAGCTTAGTCCTGCTGGCCACATGACCCGGAAGCTGTACGCCGGCTCCCTCGGCCAATAAAGCGAGATGAGCGCAGCAACCCCAGAGTCGGCCACGTCTAGACCTAATGGTCAGGGGTCCCCTTTACCTTATACCGCATTTATAAGAACCTGATCGTTTAGTGTGGCAGAGCCAACACTTTGGAACTCCCTGCCTATTGAGATCAAGAAGGCGCCTTCACTGTACTCTTTTCGGTGCCTGCTAAAAGCATTCTTGTTTATTAGACAAGCCTGTGCAGATGCTTAGACAATCAAGGTAATTTTAATCTGTTTTAGTATTTAACTTTTGTGTTCCTGTGAGTTTTCATCGGTTTTGCTGTTTTATCTTTTGTAAACCGCTTTGGGGTGTTTCTTTTTACAATCAAGGGCTGTATAAATTTTATGAAATAAAAAAATGCTTGGTTCGCACTTTCAGAAAGAACAAGGGAAACAAAACAGCCATCCTTCAAAATTCACACTTCTCTGAACTTTGCAGTGTAGTTTTCCAGCCAAGTATTGTACACAAAAATGCATTTCCTGCAGTGACGTGAACATAAAATGCATCTATTTTTGCAGTTCTTGTACACTTTACCCCAGTAGATGCATTACATTAAGGAAAATATAGTATGCAAAACACTGCATACGAAAATTGTATATAGGGAGAATTTTCCCCCTAAAATGGTGAAGAATTTTCATGAGGACAAACTGGTGTGGAAATGCAGACTACAGAATTTAATATTACAGTGGTACCTTGGTTCTCAGACTTAATCCGGTCCGGAAATCTGTTCCAAAACCAAAGCATTCCAAAACCAAGGCGTGCTTTCCCATAGAATCTAATGCAAAATGGATTCATCCGTTCCAGACTTTTAAAAACAACCCCTAAAACAGCAGTTTAACATGAATTTTACTATCTAACGAGACCATGGATCCATAAAATGAAAGCAATAAACAATGTACTGCAGTCACACAATCAATCAATCAGTAGCTGAACTGGGTTCCACACAGTCACAAAAAAGAGCCGCAAAAACAAAACGCAAAATAAATAGCAAAAACAGACAGACCTCAGTGTAACACTCAAAACTGAAGTGTGGCGCTCAAATCGGGAACATAATACTCAAAACGGAGCACGTTCGGCTTCTGAAAAAAGTTTGCAAACCGGAACATTTCCAGGTTTTCAATGTTTGGGTTCCAAGTTGTTTGAGTACCAAGGCATCTGAGAACCAAGGTACCACTGTGGAGAAATGAGAACGTGAACTGGGCAGATTCCTCCCTCCCGCGGTCACCAGGTTGAGGGAAGCCACTTCAAAGTATTTTTGGGCACGACTTACTTGGGAAGGACGCAGGTGGCGCTGTGGGTTAAACCACAGAGCCTAGGACTTGCCGATCAGAAGGTCGGCGGTTCGAATCCCCGCGATGGGGTGAGCTGCCGTTGCTTGGTCCCTGCTCCTGCCCACCTAGCAGTTCGAAAGCACGTCAAAGTGCAAGTAGATAAATAGGTACCGCTCTGGCGGGAAGGTAAACGGTGTTTCCGTGCGCTGCTCTGGTTTGCCAGAAGCGGCTTAGTCATGCTGGCCACATGACCTGGAAAAACTGTCTGCGGACAAACGCTGGCTCCCTCGGCCTGTAAAGCGAGATGAGCGCCGCAACTCCAGAGTCGGCCACGACTGGACCTAATGGTCAGGGGTCCCTTTACCTTTTTACTTGGGAGTAAGCCCCAATGATTTCAGTACGCTTTATCTCCCAGCAAACGCACATAGGCTTACACTGTGAGAAACCGCAATGCCATTTGGAAAGAAACACTACCAGGCGCAGGTTGTACATTTCTGTGCACTGTAAAAATATTTACATCTGTGTGAGCTCTGGCTCCCATTAAGCTCCAAGGAGATTGTGACTCCCAAGGGAGACAGTTAATTGAATACACGAATGCCACAGGCCTTATTGGGAGAGTGCTTTGGCCTCGGGCCAATATCTACAGGATGTACTCTGGCCTTTGTAAACGTGGGTGGGCAGGAATCTTGAGCAACCAACGGAGCTTTCTCTTGACTGATTTAATCATAAATGGTTGCTTTAAAGTGCGATAAGGGAGAACGACAGTGATCCCCGTGATGTCAGTTTCTTTTTTTTTACTATAATTTCATCAGTGGTAGGTCCTGACTCAATCCAGTGACCCTTAGCTAGTGCCTATCTTTATGAGGTTGGGAGAAAGGCTGTATTCATCACTGAAATCCCCAAGGCAAGCAGCCCAGTTCACTAATTAATAATAATAATAATAATAATAATAATTTATTATTTATACCTCACTCCATCTGGCTGTGTTTCCCCAGCCACTCTGGGCGGCTTCCAACAGAATATTAAAATACAATAACCTATTAAACATTAAAAGCTTCCCTAAACAGGGCTGCCTTCAGATGTCTTCTAAAGGTCTGGTAGTTGTTTTTCTCTTTGACATCTGATATACATTGATATACAGTAATACTAAACCACAGTTGGTTTATGAAATACATACATAAACCTCCCTGAGGACAAAGCTTTGTTATAAGTTGGTGAGTGTTTGTTGTTGTTGTGTTGTTTAGTCGTGTCCGACTCTTCGTGACCCCATGGACCAGAGCACGCCAGGCACTCCTGTCTTCCACTGAGTGCTAGACACCCGAAACTCCTGGGTCTAATACAGGCATAGGCAAACTCAGCCCTCCAGGTGTTTGGGGACTACAACTCCCATCATCCCTGACCACTGGTCCTGTTAGTTAGGGATGATGGGAGTTGTAGTCCCAAAACATCTGGAGGGCCAAGTTTGCCTATGCCTGGTCTAATAGGTATAAGAATTTAATCAATGCTTGGAGTGCTCAAAGCAGGATACAGCCGGACCCTGGGCGATATCTGGTTTTCAACTTTGTGATATATCACCGTCGCGATATAACTGATATATCACAATGTCTGAAATAAGGTTGGACTTATGTATTGGCTGGCTTCAGTTTTTCCCTCCTTGTGATTTTTGCATAGCGCTCACACACACACACACACACCTGGTCAAAAATTATGAAACCAATATCGTGGACTTCAAACTGGTTTTGGATGACATATCGATATATCGCCCAGCCCTACCCTTATTAGACTCGTGTGTGTGTGTTAGGCCAGACCTTTTAATTTTTAAAATTTATTTCGACTGCGTCAGACCAACACGGCTGCCTACCTGAAGGCCAGACCTGCATGTAATAAGCTGTGTGCTAGACAATGCTAATCCTGTGAAATCAGCATGTGTTAATGGCTAATTAAGCCAAACTGGCCTCCTATGTGAACCTTGGGAGGTGCCGTTTGGAGGACACAAGGCATCAGAGGGAAGTCTCTGTGAGACGGCAAAAGGAGCAGGGCCTTTCACACCACAGATGAAGCAATGCGAGTTAGAAACTTGGGGAGAAGTTCTGTGGTGGGGAAGCGGAAAGACAGGAGGTGAGGCGTCTCTGTGGACCCTGAGTTGCACCCATGGGGGAAGCAAGACGCTATTGGGCTGTAATGCTTGTGTGTTTCCCACAGGCTTCTGTTGAGCCCCTGTGAGAACAGGATGCTGGCCTTCGTTGGCGGTGGGCCAGACCCATCAATCTCTTCTTATGTTTAGATGTCTCTGCAATCAGGGCTTTCCTTGACACAGGCCCAGATCCTGCCCCATCCGTAACCCACTTGGCTGACCCTGTTCTAACCACCAGCCTTGGGTCTACTTGGCTGGTCCCCTCTGCCTGGTGCTGGGACTTCCTCTCTTCATTTCCTCTCTTTCTATTACTTCCTCCGAAAAGCGGCCGCCACCTTTGTACAGCCTTCTGGAGGTCTCCCTGAGGACTCTTCAGCATCCGTCCTGTTGGGGTTATTTACAAGGGAGGTTTCCATCCGCGTTGCGGCTTTGTAGCACCTGCAGCAGCAGCAAGCACACAGAAAGGCCACACAAACGCAGGAAAGTCAAGTTGTTCTGGGGCAAAGGGAACGTTACCTGGTGAATAATAATATTTATTATTTTCAGTAAATGAACATAGTAAAAAAAGAAAAAAATAACAATAATAAAGACACACAAAGAATAAAAGAAAAAGAAAAAAGAAAAAAATACATACATCATCTTACCACTTAATTAATTAAAAT